GGTAGCAAATGCAGCACCCATAACCTCCTGTAAGGCAGCGTGAATGAGCTGGGTTAATTCAGTTTTGGTCACTCCTTGCGCCAAGGGAGAAGCAGCAGCAGCAGCAGGTTGCGGGGTTGACGTGCCCATCGGAGAGGCAGCAAACGCTGCGGGAGGAGGAGGACCCTGCTGACGATACGGACCCTGCTGACGAGACGGAGCACGCTTCCCCCGCTGCCGACATTCACTCAAGATGTGACCCGGCTGTTTGCAGAAGTTGCACCAGTTCCTTTTCTTGCAAAAGGGCTGAATATGTCCCGGTTCACGGCAATAATGACATATACGAGCTGAAGATGGACCTTGCCCGTTCAGAGTCGAGGCAAATTGAGGCCGAGAAGAGGTAGCAAATGCAGCAGCATTATCAACCGCTCCATGGTGCTGTGAATCGATCTGTGCTTGACTCTTTAAGCGGATCTCCTCTCGATATAGCTCCCCTAGGATGGTATCCAAGTCGGTGACATTACGGTGAAGGATAGAGGCACGAACAGGCTCAAATTCACGACGCAATTTCATCAGAAAAGTCATGGTGCGAGAGCGAGTTCTCTCCGCAATGGTCTGAGCAGTAGCTGGTACGGCGGACAGCGAGGCAGATAAGAGATCATGCTCTGTCCAAAGATGCATAGCATCCTGATAATAGGATCGAATATCGCGATCACCCTGAGATAACTGAGCAAGTTCTAATTCCAGATCGAACTGACGTGAAGCACTCGCCTGACAGTTTGTAGTGAGAAGATGATTCCACATATCACTGGCCTGCTCAAAACGACGCAAGCTAAGACCTGTGGGTACATCCACCGCACCAAGAAGCCACGTGATCACTTGAGCATTTTCGGCTTCCCAATCAGCCAACGCCTTCTCATCCTCCTCCCCGGGCTTCTTCTTCTTGCCCGTAAGAAGAGGTAGGAGCCGCTTACCTTGGACAAAAGTACGGAATTGAAACTCCCATAATGGGAAGTTCTTCCCGTCAAACCGTGCCAGAACAACGTCCCCATTCAAAGCAGCCATGATCACCACACACCAAAAGTAACGAGCACAACCACAGCACTACACAAAGAAAGGGCACCCTTCCAATAGAGCAACCAATACCCAAGCAAGAGACACAAGCTGCTGACGAGAAACAAGAATACCACAAATCTGAACCAGGTCAACAGGAAAACAAGCAGCCGGATACGTACCAGAGAGCAACAAAATAAACCTCAGCCAGAACACTAGCGAGCAGCCAAAGAGAGGGTAGCAACCCTAATATCCGTGAGAATTCACGAGCAGCCGAGAACCCAAATACACAAGCAGCCGAAAACGCAAGCAGCTCAAAGAACTTAGACAGTAGGCTCTGATACCATGATAAGAACTAAGAATCTAAATAGCACGAACACAAGATTTACGTGGTTTCCCTGATGATCAGGACTAGTCCACGGGAGAGCTAGAACTCTCCAGAGTCAATGTTATTCACCTTAGTTTTTTCGTACAGCAGAGGAACCTATATATATAGGCTGCGGGTTTAATAACCCTAATCACACTTAGCTAGGGACTTAATGAGACAATTACAGAAAGCCACCTAAACTAAGTACATTGGTTATTTTAACATGGCTAACCTACAATACCAAAACCGCACCAAACTCATTATCCTCTTTATTGGTTTCGAAGAAAACCAACCCAAAAATAATATAGGTTGGATTTTCCACACAAATTTGTATCGAATTCGATTGAATACGTGATTGGTTATTTTGCCATCCCTAATCATTGCATGCAATTGAGAAAACACAGAATCTCGATCAACACCATTTTCAAATCCATGATTCTGCCTGCGCACATGCTCCAAGTCCCCAACTTGGGCCTGGCGGGGAACTTCCTTTTAGGGATATACTAATCTTCTTCCCCGCGCATGCTTGATTTGATCCCTTTTTTTCGCAGATTAAGAAACTTGTATAGTTGTATGTGGTCCAGGCGTTTGATGTACTGCAACCAGAACTGATGATCAGTATTTATTTAATTTGTTGTTGATGGGTTTCCATCAAAGAAGTGGGCAGCCACTGGTGGTGGCTCGTCGATGACGGTAATAATAAATTCTGGCCGGCCATCATCTGCGCATATATCACCTTATTTACTTGAAGCACTCGAGTAGTTAAGGGGAGATAGCTTGACAAAAAATATCCAGTTAATTGTTTTTCGTGTTCGCTTGTACTACGAAAGTCGGTTAAGTTTCAGTTCATTGCTGTCGTTGCTTATTGTTTTAATATTTGATAGGAGCATTTCTACTATGTTATATAGTATTGCTACTTTAATGTACAATTTAAAGTTTAGATTGTACCATAAAAAATTTATATCATTATGTCATGGTACAACTTTACAACTTGAAGTTGTATCATCACATAAAGAACAAGTTCAAGTTGTACCATAAAAGAATTTGTACAAACAGTATAGGTATAATCTAAAGTTGTACCATAATGTTAAAGGTACAATTTCAAATTGTACCATAAAAGAAAAAACCTATAACATCAATACTATATAGCATTGTAAAATTTCTCATTTGATGGATGTTGCGGACACATTGCAAATGACACTTTTAAAAAAAATTGTGAACTCAGCTAAATTACCAAGAAAATGTGAACTGTAATGATCAAAACTTAGGTATGAAAGAATTCAAATGTGTACTGGTATCCAAATATCGAATCGATCTCATCTAATTAATCGATTGTTAATTGTTCGCAATCACCTTTCAATTTTGTCTTATCACTTTGACTTCCAGAGTTAATTAATTAATACACCGGCAAATAACAACAATCAACAGCATTGAATTTAGTATCACCAGTTTGCTAACCCAGAGGCTTCAGATTCAAACTATTCACATCACGCCATTAATTTGACAACAATGGGACCAAATCTGAGTAGCTGCTGCTGAATCCCTGTTGTGGAATCAGCATTCCATTGTGGGTCCAGGGCCGGCGATGGCGGCGTCGAATTTCCCTGTTTATTTTTACTCCGCAACGCTGTCGTCGCCGGCGCGGATGCCGTTCCTGCTCCCTCCGACAGTGGTGCGGCGAGTGAAGCGGGAAACTACGTTGCCTTTGTCATAAACAAGCGACGGCTTCATGATATATTAGTTTATTCTTGGATGGAACCACATCGGGCAACCTGCATAAATTTGCCGCATTAAAAATAGCGGCCAGCGTTTTCGATTTAAATGCCGGGCTCGGTAACGTGAGCTTATAATCCTAGTGGAGGCATTAAGGTGATGCTGGACATTGGGTTAACTCGAACAAATGCTTCGAACTCCTGAACTAGGATGTTCCTCCGCCGGCCCGGCCTGGTCGGACAACCGGTTGAAAGGCCCTTAGAGTTCGATGACAAGGGTTAGGCAAAGTTGCACCTTTCACTTTTTTAAATTATCAGTATTAAATTGTTAAAAAATCATTCATAAATTTTGTAGTTTATTTAATCTTTGTTCAAATAATATGTTCAATTTTTAATCAATATTTTTTGAGAACCGAACTAAACTTATATAGTGAGATTCATAAATTTTGTAGTTTATTTAATCTTTGTTCAAATAACATGTTCAATTTTTAATCAATATTTTTTGAGAACCGAACTAAACTTATATAGTGAATGTTTCACACTTATTGATTAACCGGTATTAAAATCATTCAGAAAATAGATACCTCATAAATAATAATGTTATAAGTAAAACTTTCTTACATAATGATATAATAAACTATAAAACATTATTATTATTATTATTATTATTATTTTGATGAATCCCTATAAAACATTATTCTTACATCTTTTTAGAGACTAAAATAATTACCAAGTATTTAAGCAAAATAATTGCTAACAAAAGGAAATAGGGACTGAAATTTGTATACTAAATTCCAAAAGAATTTATGCATGACTTTATAATACTACATACAACAACTCCTTTTTTTTTAAGAAACATACAACAACTCGATGCAGTTGGAATGCCTTTTGTTCTTTTTCAAGCAGAAAAGCTTTTACCGACAATAAGCAATCCGTCATTATGGGAATGGTCACATCTAAAAAATGGGTCATAACCATTTTGCCAGTTCAAGCGATTTCTCAGGTTAATTAGTTATCCCGCTTAAAATTATCCAATTTGTTTCTGGAGGCTATGTAAGTTCACAGTGCCAAATTGTGATTAGTTATAAAATTCATTTGTTCAAATGTTCGACCCGGTCCATTCTCAATAATGGTGTTTTTAATACATATAATCTTGCTCAATGACATGTATCATTTTTTATATATAGTGAAATGAGTGGGAATGAATGAACAAAATGTCCATTACTAGTAAGTTAATCATTTGAGGTACGATATTAACATGTTCTATTTTCACAAGTAAAATGAAGTGTTTATAATATGAACACCCGACAAAAACTATTATAAGACGAGTCCAAACTTTACTAACATGCACAATAACATTGCTAATATACAACTTTACTACAAACCTATCTAGTAGCTACAACAATGAATGAAGCGAAATGAGCAATTTATCCAACTCATTTACTACGTATTAGGTTATTCTATCAATTTATCTTAGTAATTAAAATGGATTTGTGCATCAAAGAGCATAATGTTAACAAATGTTAAGAACCAACTCCATATACTATAAGTTAAAACTATCTACTTATCATCTAATTACTCTATCCCTAACTATGATTCAATTTAGGAGTGAGTAATAAGTGGGTTGGGTAAATATCAATATCAATTTGATTCATCATGTTGATACGATTGCAACCCGTTATCCACTCATAAATGTCTTCGATCGTATAAAGTATAAAATATAAACAAAAAATACCTCTTTATCATGTGAAAGTGATATGCATGGTATCACTATGTTATCAGTGGATCGATATCAAACTGCAAATTACTTACATCTAATTCCATTTGGTAAATTGTTAGAAATCTAATAAATTGAAATCCTCGGCCCATCCGTTTCCAGCCCAAAACCCGCACATTTTTACCCGCACCATCTTCCTGGCCCACAAGATGTCCCAACAACCACCCAAACCCAATCCATCGTCCCTCACCTATTCTAGTCTCCGTCGTCTTCTTCGACCTCACAGTTCAAAAATCTCCTTCATCTCCGATTCTCCCTCCCGTCGTCGTCAGTTGCCTCTGCTGAATTGAGTTACCTTCCGTGTTCCTTCATTCCCTATTTGTTCTGCCGGAGAAAAGGACTCTCCCGATTGAGAAGTAACGACCGAGAAAAGACTAAAGAGGGAGGCGGGAGTCAAAGGGAATCCACTGTGGTGCGTCAAGGCGAGGACTTTGATTTACCCTTACACGATGACGGGGGCCTCCAAGCTACAAGCTCTCTGGAATCACCCTGCTGGACCCAAAACAAGTAAGTTTCGCCTTTCCCTGTTGCCCTCTTGTGTTTTATCATCCCATCCTTTATCCCTGAACTGGATCAGGTAGAATTAGATTTCAAGTTTCTTATCTAAGTATGTCAACGGATGAAATAAGCTTAGGAATTGTGTAATCCAGGTGGGTTTGGCCACTGCTGGCTGGACCTCTTTCTGGGTAGTTGGTAGTTGAAAAGGTGTCTCTTCACTATGCCTTGGTGATGAAAAAAAATCCCTTTTGACTCGCTCTAGTTATTCCTCGAGAGCCATTGGTCCGTAGGGAAAAATGGGAACTATATCCCATCTGTATATGTCAGTATTGCGTCGATGGTTAAGTACGAAGGGACATTCAATTATGCACTACTCTGGGTTCCTGACCCTGTTACTTTGCTTTTACTTCGTTGATCAGAGTCTCTGACCTTTTGCAGTAACTTATCTTTGTTTGGGGTTTTTGCAGTCCACTTTTGGGCTCCAACGTTCAAATGGGGGATCACCGTTGCAAATATTGCCGACTTCGTTAAACCTCCTGAGAAACTTTCGTATCCTCAGCAGATAGGTATACTTGTCTTTGACGATCTCCTTCTCGAAAATATATGTTCTATGCATGAATTCTTGCTTTGCCTCTTAGATCATAACATGTCGTCACAACTCTGCGTATTACTGTGCTATACTTCTTTCTCTAATAGGATTACTGTCATTCGTTGGAAACTGACATGAAACTGGTTGGCTTTGCTTGCTCTCACTTGTGTTCTGCATATATTTCCAGCTGTAACATGTACTGGAATCATATGGTCTCGCTACAGCACAGTTATAACTCCGGTGAGTTTATCCATGGCATCTCTAAGAGGACTTAGTGCTAAATACTGCTTCCTAAGTTCTGTTATGTGCGGTCTATTTGTTTGTTTGTTTCAGTACTGTGATTTGTTTATCTTCTTTTATGTATTGCCAGCGGATTATAACTTCGTCTGCATTGGATTGATTTGCGTTGAAAGTAAGCTTAAGCAGCGGAAGTTTTCAGTATACTTCATTGCTTCCCAGAAAGCAAAGACATGATTCTAAACCAAACAGCATTAACATGGTTTTGTTTTGGCCGATAGAGTGTTAGTTTTGTTATTGAGTTGTTTTAGCTATACTCGGTCTGTAAAACCACCGTCTTAATAGTTGGTACTTTCTTCATCATCTCACAATTCTTCTGTATTTTCAGAAAAACTGGAATCTGTTTAGCGTAAATGTGGCAATGGCTGGAACAGGCATATATCAGCTGTCGCGTAAATTACGGTAATGTTATGGCTCAGTCTGCCTTCTGATGGAAAAGTCGGCCAAAATTCTGCATTCCTTTTTTCATAGTTTAACTTCTGTTGTAATACGCTCGGAAGTACTGATCAAGAACTGGCTCCCTATCCTTCAATCATTTGATCTCGGCCATTTCATATTTTCAGGCATGATTACTTTTCTGAAGCCGAGCCTTCCCTTGCTGAAGAATAACGATGAAACTTGGCCATGTTTGGCTGTGCAGGCTCAGGCCCATGATGTTCTGTTATTGGTTGTGTACCAAAGATATCGAACTCTGTAATTTATTTTTCCAGTTTAAAAGTGGGTTGCAAAGTTTAATAAGTTCTTGTGTGGTGTTTTGAGAACATCAATCTTCATTTGTTACAATTTCCACTTAAAAAATCTGTGCCTCTGGTGGAAATGAACCATTATGGTGATGTTGAAATGGGTTGTGTTCATATATATCCTCATCAACTGATGGGGTTTCCTCCTTCGTAGGCAAGTAACCTTCAGTGTTTTTGGTATTGAACATGGCAGATCCAAACAATAAGATCATTCAAACTAAAACTAGTTGTCTTGTGCTTCAAAGCAAGGCGGCTTTCCATGAGAAACGTACCAAGGGCACCAGCATTGAAGCAATGGTTACTGAACACTACGCAGTACAGATGAAACAGCATGCAGAGACCCCGTGATCACTACGACACTGGACCTCTTCTTCCCTGCACTTGTTCTTCGTTTGAGAATCGCCCCTGCAGCTTGCACAGCAACTGCTAGTGATTTCTCTGCCGCCAAATGAGTTGAGCTTTCCATTGACTCTCTCATGGCAGAGCTGCACGTTGGGTGGTGCTCTTCAGGCACTATTTCCTGGACTGATTTTGTGCCTACTTCCTCACAAGCTTGAAGCCATTGGTCTCTCAGCCACTCAGCTGATGTTGTACGAGATTTTCCTCCGCCGATCTCAGCTTCTGTTAAAAATACAGCAGCCAATCTTCTCGCTGGGAGAGAGGAAAGTGCAACAGGAGAGCAAATCCTCAGTTATAGAGCACTTGAAGCTGAGGGAGAATCATAATAGATGGACAATGTGACTTCTCTTTGGTTACAATGTACCTGAGAGAATTTCTTTGGCAAATGCTACATGGTTTTTGTCTCTGGCCATTGCAACAACGAAGGCCAGTTCAGCATCAGGAAATGCCATCTGTATTGTCTCCATCAAAGACTTGGCTGATTCCTTGGTGTGAGCTGGCATAAAAAAGCATTTGCAGAGTAATTGATAATGCTGCTTGAATCATTGATGAGTCCACAGGAGCATATGCACAAACATCAGAATGGGCTTTCAAGCTTTCAACCTAAGTGCTGCGGTTTCAGGCTTGAAAGAGAAGCTTTATGTCGAATATAAAAAAACAGCAGAAAGGACTGACCTCCATCAACAAGTATGGTTGCCCCGTGTAGCCCTAATGCACCAGCTTCCTTGGATGATAGAAACTGACTTCTTCCAAGTAAGCGAGTATTCTCCAGACCAGACATAATTGATTTATCTGAAACCTGCCACCCTAAAATGTACATCAAAGACATCAATAAGTGGATGAAATTAACAGAATCTACAGTAACCGGCATTCAGAAGGAAGCAGAGTTAATTTTACCACAACTTGAATAACAATAATTCCAGTCATAATCATGAAGTTAATCCCTCAAATCATCTGAAAGTAACAACCTTGATTACGGAGGCACAGTATGGTACATGCAGCAGTCACAGCATTTTGCAGCTGGTGCTTTCCGAGCATTTGCAAGTTGATATCTGATAACTCTAGAGACTGCATGGATCAAAAAGTAAAAAGCTTACCAAGATAACTAACCGAAACAGTGGAAGTCAATCTTTGATGGTGTCAAGTATTCACTTAAAGAAACTACAGCAGAAGAGCATACTAGCAGAATATCTCCCTGAGCTTGTATCACGACATCGTTGACTTGGTAGGGTCTACAGTCAAACATTCTGAGGCCTTTAATGCTTGACCTGGTTCCAGCATCAGATGCTGATACCACTGGTGAGTACATCAGTGATGCTCTATCACGAAGAATCTGCTCTATATGTGGTACAAACGGGCCACCAAGGACTGTCTGAGAAAATCAAACACTCAGAAAGAGAGGACCACAATTGAAAATCCTCATGCATAAAGTCCATTTGAGAATCATTTTAACACAAGGAGAGGAGAATTCACCTAACTGGGACACTGAGTTTAATGATTCCTGCCTTGGCCATTGCAATGCTCTCCAGAGAACCTCCCAGTGCATCCAAATGCTCCTCACCAATTGTAGTAATAACTGATGCTGCAAGCTCAGAGCTAGACAGGATGTTCGTTGCATCTCGCGCACCTCCTAGACCAGCCTGTGACAATTCAATACCGAAATCAAACTTCTTGCACTACCATCGTCTAACCATTGCCACACAAGAAAATATGAAATTGAACAAACCTCAATCACAGCAATATCTGATTTCTCCTCAGCAAACAACGCAAATGCAGTTGCTGTGAGAATCTGACAATCAATTAATCACCCGAATCAGTCAGAAATTCGAGCAGGAAGACAGAACAACGAACAATTTAGTGGGATTTCACGACCTCAAAATGAGTCAGCCGTCCATTTTCTAGCTGAATAGCTTCGTCAAGCTGCCCTTTTATCTTATGGAAGAGGCGATTCAAAGATTCTGATGCCACTGGATCACCAGATTTCCCAACTGTCATCCTTTCCCTTATAGTCATAATGTGTGGACTGCGAATCATTAACCAACATCACAAATAAGAAAAAAGGCAATTCAGAATCCGACATGGGACGAACAAGAAATCAGTTGTCGAGCAGAAATTGCACCTTACCTAGTATAACAGCCAACGGAATAGCCTTGCGCTCGTAGAATGCTGGAAACAAAAGCTGCTGTTGAGCCTTTCCCTTTAGTTCCAGCAATGTGAACGACCTATTATTTAAAGACATTCGTCAAATTCCGTTCTGATGTTTTCTGCATTTCTAGAGGTAGCTAAACCGAGCGAGAGACCCAGAAAGGAGAAAAAGTTCCAACCTTGAACTTGGATTGAGGATCGCCAAGGCGGGTCATGAGCCGGCGCATTCTCCCCAGGTCGAGCCCATCGTCGGAATCCGTACCGGCGTCCTTGGGAACCCCCGATTTCTCGTAATTTGTGAGTGAATCAAGGTAGTCGCTGAAGTCCTTGAGCTCCTCTGGCTCTTCTCTGCAAGTGGAAAAGAGCTGCTTCCATCCCAATAACATCTCCAAGCTCGACTTCGATCCGACATTGGAGCAAAATGGAGTTCGTCTCCTGCTCGTTTGCGCCAGGAACTGGAACTGGAACTGGGCAGAAAAAGGGTTCGGAAATCTCATTTTCCGGTTTCACGTTTGTTTCTCAAGAAACCTCGAGGTTTTGGGGGGGCCTTATATACAAGGGAAACGGCGCCGTCTCCCTTGTTGACTCTTTTATTGGGGTTACCTTATTTAGATTTACAGAGGCATGCCCGCATTGCGCCATCAGGCAGTTAAAAAGGACAAATCAGAGGATTCTTATTACAGACTTACAGTGTCGGATTCATTCTATTCTACTTCCGGAATCGCGGGTGCGTGCGTCGTTACAGTTCCTGAAATTGTTTGGCTTTCCAGATTTGGGGAGGTGGAGGGAATCACAAAGGTCGGAGCTTGGAAACCTCAAGCGACAAACACACCCAAATTCTAACCAATCAAGGAAAAGGAACACAAAGAGAGCAAACAGCCGCCGCACGGAAAGCCGTCGTCACCCCTATTCCCCCCAGCAAAGCAATATTTATTCCTTCCTCTTTAAGGCAGGCAGGTGCGATCCCAAACTACCCCCAATAAGATCATTCCAACTTCCCATTTCGAGTTCGTGCTTTCTGTGTGGAGTTGCTCTTTCCTGGGCCTTTCTTACACGCTGGAGGTAAAAAGCCCTTATCTTTGCTTTGGAATTGTATCGACTTGTGTACTTAACTAGTTAACTACTCTATGCCATTGATATATGGATTCGGTTTCTTTCCCCAATTGAGTAATCCGCTTTCAGCACGTTATTTTGGATTAGAGCAAATCCAGCTTCGCCTCTGCTATTGCCTCGTAGATGTAGTCTGCAATATGGAATTGGAAGTCTTGCTGATCTGATTTTCGATGTAAAGTTTCGTCCTTTATGGTATGCCTCATAAATGGTTGACCAGGAAGCTGATTTTCTTGCTACCATCTTTGTTTCTTTCTTATTTTTTCCTTGAGATCGTTGCCTTGTGCCTTGAACGCAAATTCCCTGTTAGCCCAAGCCAAGCCAAATAGCCAATCCTACGATGTGATTTTGGACTTGGTCATGAACAGAACTAGGGTGGCTGTTTAACTTTGATTTGAATTCACTTGGTGGGTTGATTCCAATGGAAACCTTAAAGGTCTGTTATGTACTGCCTTCCAATAACAGTGTGATTGATTGCAATTCGTTTGTTGTTTTTCCTTGATGCAGAAAGTATACTAGAGTTTGGCAGCCTGGTTAAATTATCAGCTAAGAAGGGCAGAGTTTATGTCTGAGAACTAAATTAATAACTGTTGATTCCTTAAACAGTAGATATGGAAACAGTTAACTATGAGTTAGAAATAAGTCATGTTGTGGTAGAAAGCAAGGAAACACCAACGAATCGGGAAAATGTTGATAGTACTAGTGCTACTGAAAAGGTCGAAGCAGGTAGCCTGCCTATTTGTGATATAAATAAAAGTATCTTGGCTGTAAGTTTCTCTGATGACAATGAGGACAGTGGAACAGCAGTCACTGCAACTACGAGCAGTGTCGATGGTTCTGAAGAAACCATCATGTTTCCATTTTATTTAAGGTTTCCTTCACAATGTTCTAGGAGGAAAAAGCTGCTTATTCTTGATTTGAATGGGCTACTTGTCGATGTAGTTACTTGTCCTCCAAAGGATCGTACTCCAGACAAAAGGGTTGGATTTCGATCATGTAAGTTCAAGATCGCCTTTATCCTTGGTGAAGAAGTATGTTGCGGCAGTTTCACCATCATCTGATTGGCATGCTTTGTTTTTGTTGTTTCAGTTTTTGTAAGGCCGTATTATCTGGATTTTCTCAATTTTTGCTTTCGGAAATTTGAAGTAGCTGTATGGTCATCAAGAACAAGGTATTTTACTCGATGTCATATGTAAACTGTTTAGTTCTTCTTTCTCTGTTATTGTTCACTATTTGGAAAGTAATATTTCTTTTAATCAATCTATGTTCTGCAGAAAGAACATCAGTATCTTGATTGATTACTTGTTTGGAGATTTGAAGAACAGTTTGTTATTTTGTTGGGTGAGTGTTCCTGAAGATATCATTCTCACTTTTGTGTTCAGGGTGACCTCACTTTTACACCTAATCTAACTTGGCTTGATTTAGTGTTGACCTGAAACTGGTGCTGAATAGCTTTAAGTACTTGACCATTTGCTTTCGTTTTAACTGACGGTATGGTGTTCTTTTCTTTGTCATTTACTCTGCTTCAACTCTTCTCACAGGATCTATCCCATTGCACAACAACACAGTTCAAGACAGTAGAGAACAAGCACAAACCTCTGGTATTCAAAGAACTAACAAAGGTTTGGAATAAAGAGGACCCTCAACTTCCATGGGAGAGAGGGTACTTCAATGAATCAAACACATTGTTGGTGGATGATTCTCCCTATAAAGCATTACTTAATCCTGTAAGTTGTATGGTGATATCTTCATGTTTTCTGCCAGTCACTTATTCTGACGTAATAATCGATGTCTCTATAATCCTTGATACTTATTTCCTTCGTGGTGTGTTACCGAATGACAAGACAGGCTAACTCTGGCATCCATCCTGATCCCTACAGCTATGAGGATCTCAACGATAACTCACTAGGTAAGTTGCACGTTGACTTCTCATTTTGTGTTGATTAGCTTGCTGCCAAGCAGTAACTGATGAATTGAAATGAAATGACAGGTGTTGATGGTGACTTAAGAGTATATCTTGAGCAGTTATCCGAAGCTGTTAATGTACAGAAGTTTGTTGAGACCAACCCATTTGGTCAAAAGCCTGTTGCTGAAGGGAATGCAGAATGGAGCTTCTACCATGAAGTTATAAGCACATTGTATCCTTCCCGAGTTGAAGGCAGGAGGAAATACGTCTCTTCGGTGTTAACTTGATGGAAGGAAGCCCTGTAGGTGCAGTAGGAACGTTATACGCACAACTGCCTGTTTTTTACAAGGTGCATAGAAGAAGTAGCCAAGCATTTTCCTCCAGTCATTTGAATATAGACGAACCCTTGATTGAATATAGTTGAATGACAACTACAAGAGACCTACAATTTTCTTCTTAAGAGTTATTTGGGGAGGAGTTTTTTTTATTTTAGTTAGTTTCATGCTTCAGTTTACTAAGAAGACTAGGCTAGAAGTTGCATATAGGTCTTTCAGCGGGGGAATTCCACATGGCTACATGGCTTGTTGAATGTTTCCCTAGCTGTTGGGTTTAGCTATTTTCCATTACATGATAAATGATAAACCTGTTTTTTTTTTTTTTTTTTTTGTGTGTATCATCGAGGGTTCCACGAGCAACAACAATGGCTAACCTATTTTCACGAATAATCATGTAAATTGGTACATGATTGATCACATGGGTGAACTCTACGGGAATTAAACTTTTGTCCTAATAATTGGCGATAAGCAAAGTTGTCAAATTGGTTCAAATTGTTATGCCAGCGAAGTACTTTTTTGATAATTGTCAGTGAAGTAAATGATATGGTACGACTAGTGGTACAATTGGTTATGCCGGTTTTAATAGAATAAATGAGAAAATTAGAAAATAATCAACACCAAATGAATTAGTTAGAAAAATGCAATTAAGATAGTTAATTCACATAAAATCATTTTTATTTAGGAATTAGTGACTCAAATAAACAAATAAAAATGAAAAAATAAAAAAATATATAAAGTGAATTTTATTAATGTTTACAATGATCATTTGTCTAAAATCTAATTTAAATCGTACAATATATAATGTTAATATGTATCACAAAATTCTCTGTAGCCTATTGATGTACAATTGAAAGGAGTGAAACATGATGAACTTTGGTTGAGCCCCATCCCATGGTTGGTGTACATTTTTGGGAGATGTTTGAGAAAGTGTTGGAATCTAACTATCTAGTCCGATCGACCAATTTTCTCGATTTTGACAGAAGATGTAAATCGATCTCTTTTTTTGTATTGTTTGGTGACCAACACCGATAGTACTCGACAATTGTATTTGACAACCATGGTCACTAGATGAACTCCATTTGTATTGACGAGAATCAAATCCTCTAACCTAATGATTAAAGAAGATATACAATCTAACATTCACACCACATCCATAGTTGAAATCCCTAAATTATTTACGAAGACTTCCAAAACAAATTGGGCCGCAATGGACTGGAGAAGTGGACATGTACGTTTGGACCTAGCAATGACAAAAACATCTTACTATCTTAGCTAAATAGATTGGAGATCACCATGGGACTAATTTGATGAACCTTATTATATTCACGAAACGACCCATGCATAGTTCTGACGAGTGACAACGACACAACAATTTTTAACGTATGCCCATAAATGTATGGCCTTCCAAAACCGCCGGAGTCGGCCAAAACTTCCCGGTTGAGTCCCACGCCGTGACCATCAGATCACTTCTATAGTATTTGGTGACCAGTCATGTCACCAAAAGTGACGCCGGAATATCCTCCTAATTGATTGTCCAAATTCTAATTGATAATCATATGCGTAATAATCCATATAGTTTGGACTTTTGCGATGTGAATGCATATTGTCGCGTCGTTAACCGCCGGTATTCTGAAGGCCGCCACAACAAGCTGAGATTATGGGAGCTGGGATGTGACGGATTGAACTAACAATAAAGAACGATAAATACTGAAAAAACCATACACCTTTATAGAAATTAGGGTCTAGAGGGAGGAGTATTCATAGAATTGGAAAAGTGAAATCAATTAATATTGGTTAGAGGAGAATAAGATGACATGTAATTGCGTGTACATAGTATATGAATTGGACGTGAGGATGACGACATTGGGATAGAGAGACACTCAAACTAATTTCTCAATGATTCCCACCACTTTTCTTTGTGCATATTTCTCATACACGCCCCATGTCAATACGTGAATTGTATTCACACATTGAGTCGAGTATTCGAATGGAATTTTATCCTCAAATTCTGGATAAATCGAATTATCATCCCAACAGTGATTCCATTAATCCTATAATAATGACAGAAACCCCAACTTCGAGTTTCATGTGTGGAAGGGATTTATTGAATTATCGTATTTAGAATTATTATCGATTGGCATATAATAAAGAAGTATTAAATATTACCAAAAAAAAACAAAAGGTATTAAATAACCATCGGTTAGGTAATTGCATTTAATTAGTTATACTTAATTATTTTTGGGGATTAAATTGGTAGAATATGGGGTAGGTTGGGAGACAACGGTTTCAAGGTTTGGCCTCTGTATTTATACTTTCACCTTTATATATAAGGGTGTATTAGTATATATAGTTATAGTGCACTTTTACTCTTAAAAGAAAACCTCCAACTCATCAACAAGAAGACTCAGAATAACTTCACAAATCCTACCACAAGATCATCTACAAAATATGATATACTCTCCTTTCAGAGTGCGTTGTGCGTACATCCTGATTTAGTCATGTGCGAAATGTGACCAAATTTGTAAGGAGACAAACAAGTAAGACGTATATTCGTTATTACACACTTACATCGAACTCCTTATTAGCCTCCCCAAATCCTGACCATACACCATACAATAAATAATCCTGACCATAGAATACAGCAGACTTCTCCATCATCGGCGTGCATGGAAAATTAATCGAGTTTGGCGCTTCTTATCATTATTGGGATATAAAGCTAAAAGCTCACAGTGCACTTCGTTTTCGACGACGACGGCGACGACTGACGAAAAAGGGCGAAACAAATTAAAGAAAATAACGGAACCAAGAAGTTGGAATACGTTTCTTTTACCGACGCCGGCCGACTTCCGCCCCGCCTGCCTAAGCCTACTAAGCTTTACCTTCCAAAGGGGTTTCGTTATTTTTGTGCAACTTTGTTGGGGAAATATTCGGCTGTATATAGTGTCCTACTGTTCTGTTCATCAGTCCCTTAGCTCCGAAATGGGATAATCCCAATGAAAACTATCCCATTTTTTGGTTTTATTCCCCCACACCCACATGCATATCGCTTTGTTGTAGACTGTAGTGAAGACGACTCACCTAAACAAAAAGGGGAAAAAGTCCTACATGTGGTATGTGTGGTCCTCGCCCTAAAGAAAGAGCATCTTATCGATACAATCAACGACTTGTAACGTTTGAATTTAGTAATTTAGCGGTACTTATTCTTTAATATACGGTTTCTTTGTTATTAGTAAGGAATTTTGACTCAGATAAGTGTAGAATATTTTTTGTCCAAGCAATGTATGAATTTAACGGTTTTCATCTCTCGAGATAATTTAATTATGATAGTGATCACCAGATTATACATCATTACGAATATGGACGATTAAGAACGAGCAGTACTCTCAGAATCAGATACTAAGTAAAACATGAGGACATTATCCAACGAAGAATATATTTGCAAATTACTTCTCTAGGTTAGAATGTGAAGAAGTTTCATCAAACCATCCTACACTTTTTTGTTTTAAGAAGATCGATGATAACCCAACTCGATGTGCTATTTCCCGCATGTAAGTTGACAAAGCTTAAGTTTCACAAAACACCAAATTAGGACGATTGATGATTTGTTGACTAAACAAAAATTGGATTTGTTGTTAGTTTTGAGTAAACGGAAGGGAAAAGGGGCCGGAGGGAGAGAATGGCGACCAGACCAGACCAGACCACAGCTAGATAGATAGCAAAAGGACAATGATTGCCTGAAACATGCGCGAAAGAAAGAACTCTAACAAGAAGGCGGAAAAAATAACAAAGGGGCAAAGGGAGAATGTGTACTTCTTTTTTATTTTGATGATAAGATGTGAATGTGGAGGGAGTCCCCACTTTCACTAGTAGTCGAAGAGGAAGAAGAAGAAGAAGAAGGTAGATGGATGGAATGGGCGAGGGTGGGTTCAAATTGCATAGACACCACTAGATTTTGTGGTCATTGACTATTTGGTCATTTGGATTTAAGAAGAAGAAAAATCCAACAATAAGGTGACTACTTTTATCTCGGTTGTTTGAATTGCTACCTGAACCGTGCGTAAAGTGACAAGTCCATATATAGAAGGATCGGTTAGGGTGGTTTTATGTAATGCGAGAGTGAATAACGCGTAGAGTACTAAGTGTTAAAACCAATCGTCAATTTCAGTTAAGTATGATCTATATTTTCTTTTAATTGCTATATATTAACATGAGTTAGTTTGTACATCTAATAATGAAGGATCATGTAACTTTTATTTTAGTCATTCCATGCTAGGGATGGCAATGATTCCAGACGGAGATGATTTTCTTGTATTTATAATTCTTGAACTACGGTATGGTAATAGTAAATATCCGCTTACTGGAAAGTTGACAAGGATGTGATACGACATATAAAATCCTACTTGTTTTTCTTTCGGTGAAAACCTGTGCACACTATTACCTAAACAATTATATTTTACATTCTTAATATGATTGAACATGATTTTCTAAGAATGTCAATGTGTTTGTTGATTACTCTTTGAATTAGATATTGTTTCGACGAGCGAGAGAATTTCATTGCGTCCTGAGTCTTTATTGATGATAATGACCATTAATTATTAATAAACGAATGACTTTGATTATCAAATGGTTTGAAATGATTAAAATTCGGGGTTCACTGTAATTCTTGAAAGATATGAACGATCTAGCGTTTAAAAGTATACATAAAGTGCAAGACCATATAATTTAAAATACAAAATCTACATAAAATTCATTACTCTCTTTTTGGGTTTACAAAAAACCTCACCTAAAAAACAATATCAGTAGAGATTTTCAAGATAAAACAATTTCGAGCTCGATTAAATACCTACCACGATGGATTAGTTTTGCCATCCTCATTGCAACTCCAATGACAAATTTGTCAGAAACTGAAAATCTAGCTATCAATTTGTTAGCCACTCCAAGTCTTAGTGACCATTTCTGCAATTAGCACGGATGGGAAGACCCTAGTCCACGTGGCACCACGGATGCCATTGCTTTTTTCCCCTTCATAACGACTGCCGTGGAGGATGGTCGGTTCGATTCCGGCATCTTTCTTTCCCTCTTTCCTCAAATCAAACCATTCCCATTCTTCTCACCCTCTCTGCATCTGCAGCCATTTCTGCTTAAATTCAACCAAAACCCAGAAACCAACATCTTTCCCCACTGCTCACCGCCTAATATTTCCCTCGATAAATCCAAAGCCCACCCATACCACTCTCTGTATTTTGTAAGCTAGCCATCTCCCATAAGGTTTTCTCCCTCAGCTTCCCGGCCATCTCAACTTGCT